GGGAAGGCAGACGGGTGAGGCATGGAGCCTTGTCCTGCCCTTGTGGCAGGAGGGCTGTTGGGGTGGATGCTCTCTGCTCTGGCGGGGTGGCTCAGGCATTGCTCTGTCGTGCCATACAGATCCTGAACCTGACTCAGGCACTGAAAGATGGGAAGAGCCCCCTGCACCTTGTTCAGATGCCACCTGTGATTGTGGAAACAGCGCGTTCTCACCAGCGCACCGCCAGCGAGTCCTACACGCAGAGCTTCCAGAGCCGGAAGCCTTTCTTCTCCTGGTGGTAGCTGTGGGAGCTGTGGGCAGGGCTTGGCCGCCTTGGACTAGCACTGCGAGGGGAGCCGGGCCGCTGCTAGCTGCTGTGGCCGGGACTCAACCTTCTGGGTAGAGCAAGCAGGTGCGGCTGGAGGAACCTGCAGCTGAACTGGAGGAGCCAGGCAGGTCGGGCATGGTCCCTCGCCAGCTCTGTCAGAGCTCGGTGCCCTGCCTGGGGCAGAGCCCAGGGGGAGGTGTGGGAATCCACCGGGAGCCATGGCGTGGCTGGGATCCTGCCCCCGCCTCCCTTCCTCAGCCTGCATGCGGTTCTGAGCACCCCTCCTTGCAGCTGGGATGAGCAGGCTGCCCGGGCCAGGATCCGTCCAGCCCTTTACACCAGCCACTGGCCCTTTTCTTCCCTGCCATGCCGGCTGCCGGGCTGGGAAGGCCTGGAGTGGGGTTATACCTCCTCCCTTTCCCCGAGGGTGTGCTGTACTCCTCCACTGTCCCTCCTCTGCCCCAACCCTGTGCACGCTGCTTTCCTCAGGGGGAGTTCCTGCTGCTTACTGGTGCAGCGGGGACCGAAATGAACGGCTGTTCTCTGGCTGGGGGCTCGAGGAGGGGACATATGTGGGACAACTCACGGGGCTGGCTTGGGGTGCATTTAGACACTAAGGGGAAAGAGGTGCTGGCTTGTCCTTGTGAAGAGTGGGCAGGTGTGGGAGGAGCTGAGCGTAGTGCCCCCCCACTTCCTGAAGGAGCCCCCTC